TATAATATAGGTCTGAGTACTTCCTGTAGGGCAGGTGTAGTAGTGGAAAATTTCCACAAAGTTTGTTTGTCAGAAAAATATTTGATTTCTCCATAAAATTTGAAGTTTAGTTTTTCAGGATATATAATCCTAGACTGGAAGTTATTCTGCTGAAGAAGATTGAAGATAGGGGACCACTCTCTTTTGGCTTGTAGTTTCTGCTGAGAAATCAACTGTTAACTTGATCAGTTTACCCCTTTGGGTTAGATGCTGCTTATGCCTAACAGCTTGTAAAAATTTCTTTTTCATTTTGAGGTTTTCCAGGTTATTTATAATGTGTCTAGGAGATGCTCTATTTGAATTGGATCTTCTTGGTGTTGGTTATCTATCCAATAACTGCATGTTTGAATCTAGAGCTTCCATACCTCTTTTCTTCCATGAATACCTATAATTCCTATACCTACATATGATTTTCATAGTTCAAAATCTTCTAAAAGATTGCTCTGTTTTTGCTGTCTTCTATTCTGCCTCTTTAAATGACTTGGTTAGTTTGCAAATATTCTCTTCAAGCTCTCATTTTCTTTTCTCTCCATGATTTAATTTGTGGCTGAAACTTTCTGCTGGGTTTTCAAACTCCTTTAATGTCTCTTTCAATTTTTTAAGCTCATTTATATCTTTCCAATTTTGTCCAGATACTCAGTGACTTTTTTCCCAATTTTATTTTGTTTATTTATTGAAAAAATTTTGGAGTTATTTCTTTTGGTTTTCAACTTTCTTTTCAATTCTGTTCATCTTATTTACCATCAATATTCTGTATTCAATTTCTGTCATTTCAACAATTTTCTTATGGTTGGAATTTTCTGCAGTTACTCCATTGTGATTTTCTGGGGGAGTTGTTCTTTTCTGATTTTTCATATTGCCAGTATTCTTTTGTGGGTTTCTCCTCATGTGTGTTTCTTTTCTTTTTTTAACTCTAAATCATAGGATTAAGATGGCCCCATATTCTTTATTATCTTTTTTTTTT